CCCCAGTGATTATCTGCAACTTTCTGCCTTGTGCCTCCCCCTGCACGCTGGAGATTCACCTCTTAAAGAAAGTCTTTCAAGTTTTCCCAGTGAAAAGCATTCTACAAACTACTGTTGCTGTTTTATGAGCAAAAACTGCACCAGAAGAGATTCATAAAAGTAATATGAATAAAAATTTCTCCATACAGGATTTTCCTGCCCCTGGTGTTTCTCCCCCAGCCCCTCTGTTGGACAGTTCTGTGCTACCCCTACACTTCTCAAATCCTTCCATCCTTCCCTTACCACTCTTTCTTCACAGCTCTAACCCTCACAGTAATCTGCCTGAATAGTCCGTAAATCCTGCTAGTTTAAACCAAAGAAATTAGAAGACTTCATCCATGTGACTCCTATCATTTCAGCTCATTTAGGATTGAGTTATCTAGAAATATATAGAATTATAAAAGTAAATTAAAGCATCACTGAAAACCTCATTATTTAATAACTACAACCCAAGCTTCAAATAGGATGCATTTCAATGTATATTGAATAATTTCAATATAATTTGTTTTTCTTTATCTGTTCCTTTTAGACCATTTTAAGCACATTTTAAATGTGCACAGAACAACAAAAAACCCCAAAACAGACCCTTCCAAATCAAATCAACTCAACATCTGTTCAAATAAGCAAACAAAATACACTATTATGTCATAAATAGAGGCTGGTTTTACTGGTAAGTGCATTAGGAAAGATATCTTCTTCCAGAAGCTATTTAGAAAACACATTAAGTTCAATTTTTAGTTTATGGATTTTCAAACATGTTTCTGCTGGTAAATAAAGAAAAAAAACAAAACCAAAACCAAAGAAGTCTGACAATTAATAGGATGCTGAATAAGTCTTGGTTCCCAGCAAAGCCATGAATAAGTCATGTTTGAAAATGTATTTTCAGATCTTGATGAATTGCATCAAGGTAATTAAAGGTGAGACTTGATTAGCTGACATGTTTCCAAACATGAACATTCTTGCCTGTACTCCAGGCAAAAATTATGGTGAATGTTTTTGCAAATTTTCTAGCATGATGAATTTTTCTCAAGTATAATCTTGGCCCAAAGGGGCCCAACTTTCCTGTTAATTGGAATACAAATGAAATCTGTCATTCAGTAATTGAGGTACACGATGACATATGGAGAACAGTATGCATTCATCAGAGCTCTGTGTTTATGTGGCAACTTGTGGACTGCTGAGCACACACAGTGCTCATCCCTTCAGAGAAAATCACCTCTGTCAGAATCCATCTTGTTCCACTCACTAACTTCTGCCAGAGGACACGCTCACACACACACACACACACACACACACATATATACACACATATACACACACAAAGCACACACCTTCAAAGTACTTCTCCAGCCAAACATTGCTGCTCTATCCTCACAATGACTAGAGTAGAAAAACCATAATAGAGGTCATATATTTGGTGATATATTTGGGGCTGCTCTGCCAATATGCCAGGAGAATCTGTACCTCATCATCCAAGGGCAGAACTGGGTCTCCATTTCTAACAAAGAATAAATGATATGAGGCTGTTTCAAAGAGTTTTGGAAGTGCCTTCAGGGCTTCCAATGACATCAGTGTAAAGAATATTTGCTGCAAATCTTAATTAATTTACCAGCTTGATCTCTTACAGCAAAACTTCCATTTACTATTAGCAAACCCATCAGCAGTAAGATGCAGAAAAAATAAATACTGGAGTTACTGGCTGCACATGATGAAGATTTCAAACCCACCTTCCTGGAATGAACTTATAGGCACCCTGCAGCCAGTGGGAACCAAGCAGCCTTGCCAGGGATTTCACTGGGACAGAGACTTTACTTCACAGCCTTAGCTTAGGTTAATTTTTATTGTGATCATGAAGTTGTGAGATCTTAGCAACCCTTCTTTTCAAAACACTGCCCTCCCCAGAACTGCAGCTGGTAGAGATGAGCAAAAATTTTCAATTTAATTTTTTCAGCAAATAGTGCAAACTTCAGGATTTACTTCATTTTGCTGAACTGCCTGATGTGAAAACAGAAGAAGGAAGTGAAAAGTCTGGAGTTTTCATCTGAAATTACTTAATGCCACTCCATTTCACTTTTCAATATTAACAATATACTCAACTCTGGTATGTTTTTCTTTGGAAGTAAATGTTTTGATCAACCAGAAACTAAACTCTTTCAAATCTTGATTCAGCTATGGTTTTGAACAACCTAAACCAATATTTTTTTTTTTTTAAGGAAAAGTTTTCAGAATTAATAGCAAGATGAAATATCAGTTACTCAACACAGGTCCAACAGCAGGGGACAAGAAGTTTAACTTTGAAACTTGATATTTTAAATATTAGACCAAAGCATACCCAGCCCATACGTAATTTCCTGATCCTGTTCCCAAAAATGTTAATGCAAGCTCTTTCATCAGTGGGATCTGCAAGCACTGACAGCAATTGCAACAGGCCCCTGAAATCCACAACAAGAAGAAAGAAATATACTTTCTGAACTAGTAAAACTTTAATTAACAGGGGGTTCTCTTGGCACAGTTTTTGCTGTTAAATAAATAAAGCATTTAGTCAAAACCATCTATATTTACTATACAAAATACTGAAAAGCAAACATATTTAAAAGGTACAGAAATTTAAGGTTTTGTGAAAAGAAACTGTGCTACATGTTATTCACACTTATAATGCACATAACACAACTGCAACACAGTATTTAGATACTGTATATTCATACATGGCTGGTGTAAGGTTTCATAAGGGGATGCCATGTTATTAAGATGCATTTGTGTTTCACAGACTCTGAGCAAGGCAGAATTTGTCTTTTGAATGTCCAAATACAATAAACCAAACCAAAGCAATGCCAGGCAGTAACAAATGGTCAGCTGTGCTCCACATCAGAGTCCACCTGGCACAGCCAGCACTGCACACCTCTCACTCAGATGGATTTTGGTAGCGGTGCTGTTTTCTTTTCCACCAAAATATCTTTGGGTGAAGGAGCAGTTTTACCCCTTTGCTGCCCTTTTGTAGAAAACCCCACAATTCTGAAAGCACTCGAGTTTTCTACAACGTTTTCTGGTTTTCAGTAACAATCTGCATTTTAAAAAATTGAACAATCGAAAATTGAACAAAAAAGAACAATTTCCACCTCTCAGTCTTTGTGGCACATGCTCTACTGAAAAGAGAACAGCTTTAATTACTTCTTCAAAACAAATAGCATGGCATCCCTTCTTAGATGGAATGTACACTGTGTGTTTGCATGCGGTATAATGTAAGTCACTTGAATACATCAGACTTTTTTAACACTATAATATAAATAAGCTTATTCCTTCTACTAGACATATAAATGCCTTTTTTTTTTCTTTTTGCAGTCCATAATTATATATACATTGAAAAAGAATGATACACAAGCAGCAAAAAAGGCTTAGACTAGAACAACTCAGTGGTAACTAACCAAATTCGTGGCCTTTTCATATTATCAACACAGAAAATTCTGCATATAAATATTTTTGGACTTTAGGAATTTTAAAATAAACAGAACAGTATAGTTGTCACACAGATCAAACACATTTTAAAAACATTTTGTTAGATTTTACAGAACACGCTGTTGACAGCTAAAAAAAGTAAAATAAAATAAACCAGATTTTTTCAAGGGGACAATAAGTCTAAACATCTGCTGATCCAGGGAGACAAGAGACTGAGCTAATTACCATGAAGCAGTGATTCCATTCCAATTCCGTGAGAAGACAAGGCTTCCCTCTGTTGTTTACAAGGTGATGTCTCTGTGTTCTTAGGAAGGACAACATCCCCCTAAACCTGGTCAGCAGTAAGGTAAGACCCCATTTTGGACTGATCAAAACTCTAGTCAGAAAACAAAAAATACCCCAATCATAAAGGGCTTATAACAATGTCGGATAGTTACATTTTACAATATATACTATTGACAAAATACCACAACATTAAAAATAATTAAAACCAAAAGCAAATACATTTATAGAACAATTATGTCTTTATGTAGGAGTTCTCTACTTTAATGTTCCAAAAGAAATGTAGGTGTTTTCCAGTCACTTTCTACCTGCAAAATGGTGATCTGTACAAAACCCAAGTGAATCTATTTTAAATCTGGGCTCCACAGAAAGCAAAACGTCAATGCGCTGACCCTTTTTTTTTTTTTTTTTTTTCACTTTTCCCATTTTCTTTTGACCTTCAAATTTCTCAGCAACCATTAAGGTCTTGTGAGTGTGGTCTGATTCTCCTTCATGGAATGGAAGCCCTTTGATATGGAAAAAGTAGAAGAATCCAGGAAGATTGTGAATGATACTTTTATACACATCTCTAAAATGGGAGAAGCACAAATTGATAGGTGCTTGGGAAATTCAAACTGGAGGCACCAAGAAAATGCCATGGCATATGTTTCTAAAAAGTCACTGTTGTGGAAAAAACAAATATAATGTTAATATTCAAACCACAGATTTCTAAAACACAACAAAATGTACCTGAGAGTGTGCATATTTATATATATATATTTATATTTATATTTTATATATATTTGCCAACATTTAAAGTGAGAAAGTATATTTTCCTCAATTCTTTCTCATAACAAAGAACTGTGGATTTAAACAAAACAAATCTCCCCAATCAACCCCTCTCCTTCTCAAAGCCCCATGAATGAAACTTATGGCCCAAGCACTAAAGTCTAGTGCTGCTTTGGAAAGCCCCATTTCACATCCTTCTCTTTTCAAATAGTACCCCAAACAGAGTGGAGAATAAGCAAAAGACAAACCAAAAATAAAAGAAGTATATTTAAATATTACCCAGTATATAACAGACTGTACTTGTGTCAATGAAGAATCTCCAAGAAAATAAAGTGTAAGTCATACAAATGTAGCCCTGTTGACAAGTTTAGCTATTATTTCCTTGTAATTAAGATGATTTGAAAGGATGTGAACACAAACAGGCTACACGAACACAGTATATTAAAATTCCCCCCTGTAGCACATTACAATCAATAAAAAGAAAATAAAATCTGAATAATACTAGAGGTAGCAGCTGTTTGTATTTTCCATTATCTGAGTATCTCTGGAGTCCAACCCTTCGAACATTGCTCCCCTGATGAAAGGCTTGTGTGCGATCAGCCGGCGTACAGCAGAGTGGAAAGCTGGATGTCTGCAGGAGTGTTTGAAGTATCTTTCTGAGTACACTGGAAGTAGTACTTGTACAGAAGTGCGTTGACGACCTGTATTAAATCACAGCTCAAAAAGCTATGGCTGTTTGCTGTTTTACAAGCCACTTAAAAAAAAAAAAAATCCACAAGGTGTTTGAGTAAGCTATGCGGTTCCACAACATATAAATAGGGTGAGTTTCAAGAGTTCCATAAAACCTCTAAAATATATGCTAGCTGAATATTAATGGAGTAATGACAATATTAATCATAGTAATGCCTTAGTCCTGGTATCACAAGAATGCATTTCCTTCATTTGGGATGATTCCTGGAGGATGTTGGTGGGATCTCTTCTATGTCTGGTAGAAGTGGTGGTAGTGGTGGTGGTGCTCGTGATGGTGGTGGTGCTCATGTCTTTGTATCATCTGTCCCACTTGGCCTTCATATAAAATGACTGTGGGCAGGTCTCTCACGTGCTCCTTTTCCACAACTGTCCCCGGAGACTGGAAGGTTTTGCACATTTGGTGATTCTCCTTTGCCCTCTGCTTATGCTTCTTGTGGATCTGTTGGGACTGCAAGGGAAGGTACGGGAGGTTCTGGCCCACCCGTGCACTTGGGGAAGCCATGGGCAAGGGCACCCCTTGGAAAGGTTTATTCCTAACTGCCCTTCCAGGATGCACAGGGGCCACGTTTTTGCCCTGGGCTTTGGGAGACCTCACAAAGTGCTTGTTGGAGTCCTGGTTCCGGAGCCTCTGCTGGATTTCTGCAATCTTGGCATAGGAACTTTCAGCCAGATTGATGTGGTTTGGATCCACCACTTGAGATTTCCTATGGTGAGCATGGAAGGTCTCAGGCTCATGAGAACGGGATCTAGTTTGATTCACAATTCTGCCTGGTGGGTCATGTTTTTGAGCTGCTGGAGGAGATCCTAGGAAATAACAAGCTGAGTTAGTCATCTAGTATTTCAAAGTTGTAATTAGTAGCATGCAGTTGGCAGGGATAGCATTATCGGCAGAACAAATTTTTCCTAAGGAAGTGAATGCAATTATAGCTGTCTAGTTTAATTACATTTTATAATTCTGGCCAGTAAATAATACACAAATATGAATACCTATCTAGAGAAGTTGAACACACACTGTGTGTGTGTATGTGTATAAAAATCTTTATGTTACCAACTCTTGGTCATCAAATTAACTGTGAAGGGAATAGTAAAACCCTGGCAGAGGGCAGGGAAATTAAGGAAATCCAAATCTCTTTGATGTGGGGACTAGAGCCAAAATTCCAGGTACAAACACACATTCTCCTATTTTTGGGTCAGTAGTGACTATAAAATATGTGCTGGTCTCATCTTGGGAACAAGCTCCAACATCCAAAAGTCAATCCTTACCTCACCCGTAGACTAAACTTAATAATTTAGATGTAAAGATTGTTCTCCTAGGCTCAGCTCCAAGCTTAGCTACACAAACAAGTACATCAAAGCAGCCTTGCAGCACATTACCCACTCTGTAGTGATAGCACCTTCACCAGTAATTATCTTGCAGTATTCACAGTCCTATTCCTGAGTCACTACAGACAAAGCACACAGCTTCACAATTCACTGTCCCTGGCATGGAACATGCAACTGAAGGAACAAAAGATTATGAGGTTACAACATAAATTACCTGGCCCAAACTTTGATGTGTAGTTTTCTATTCCTGCAAGATCCAAATAGTGGTTTCTCCTTTCAATGTTCTCATCAACACAATGACGATAGCACCCACTTTGCTCTGGATTGTTCTCACTCTGGTGGTATCTGTCAGCAGGAAGCAAAATTACCATTCAGCAGAACTTCTTTAAAGTTCTTATCACCATCTGCAAACCAACAACTAATGGACCCTTTGAAGTGACAGGAGCTGCTCACAAAGAAACAACAAACGCTTGAAACTGTGGATGACCAGACTTGTTTTGACGATAGGCCCAAACTGACTGTTCCTTCTCCTCACATAAATCAACCCTGGTGTTGCAAAGCAAAGGAGGCTTTCCAATTGCATCACATGTGCAAAAGCAAATAAAACCACTCCTAGCATTTATTACTTTCTGTCTTAGGGCCAAATCATTCAACCAATTCTCCAATTAGGACACGCCAAAGAAATTTTGCTTTTTGATTCATGACCGCTCCCACCACTGTGAGGAAGTGCTGGGGTAATCCAGATCAATATCCATGTGCTCCTGCTTCAGAAAGTCAGGCAACACCACAGGTGTAGTAATCAGAGAGAGCCTGGGAAGAGAAGGTGCTGGTAGGACACTCAGAGGTAACTGCAGCTTTCCAAAATATAATTAATAAGATCAGATCAGACACTGGCTTTAGAATCCCAACTCCTTTTCCTGCTCAGCTTTGCAATTTTATTTATAGCAGAACTATTTCCTGAGAATGAATATCTGAAATACCACTCATTTATGAGACAGAAAAAAATCAGGCAGAAGTTTACAGTATTGTAGCCCATAATACCAAACAATTTTATTCAGCAATTTAAATGGGAAGTCTGCAAATATGAACAACATTTTCAATATAACAAACAGTATAAGCAGAAAACCCTTGATTAAGTTGCTGCTTGTCGTTCAGACAATTCAGTCTCCAGGACCACGAGATTGGCTTTGCTATTTCTCTGTGCAAGTGCACTGATGTCAGCCTAACACCAGAATCTGGCCTTGTATCCTACACCAGTTGCTAAATATGGGCTCTGTACTGTATGGTGCCCAGTACTCTGCTTTTAGTCTATTAACACATTTCTAAGTTTCCAGAGGCAGCTGATCCCCCTGAGCTTTGGCACAAAGGGCTTTCCTGGTCTAGTTTGTGCTGTTCAGGGACATTACAGAACTGAGGCTCCTCGTGTCTCTGTCAGACACAGGCCTGCAGTGTCTTTTATCAAAGTCACAAGACTTGACCAAACTGGAAGATCATTTCTGCTCTACTTTGATAGAGTCTCCTGAATGGAGGAGAGTCTGCCTGGAAAGCAGGTAAGGTTTAAAGATTCTAGTCAGCTTTGAAAGGTGACATGGGCTACTCTCAAAAAATAAAAAAAAAGGAATGTCCATGTATTCTATACATTTTGGATAACCAACCAACTCAGCACCTTTCCTGTGTCAGACACAACTTTACACTTGTTGTGTTGTTACACTTTAGCATGTCAACATTAAAGATCTCTGGGGCTAGAACTTGCCTAACTGCAGTTGCCAGGCATGAATCACCTACAGAAACCACTGGGACTTGAACACATGTGCTGAAGACAATTCACAGTTAACCCAGAAAACACATCACTGAGTTTGATCCAACACAATTAAGTAACACTGCATCCAGCACTGCTCTTGGAAATGAAGCTAACAGGGAACCTGTTATTTTGTTACCGTAATAAATTAAATCTCTCATCAAGACAGAGGAAAAAAAATTATGCCAGTAGTGCCACAGCCCTACATTCTAATAACTTTCTTGCATGCAAGATGACGTTCAGCAATATTCATGCAAATATACACAGCAAAGCAATTATACACTGATGAGAGATGAGCTCCAGTGTCAAAGGAACTCCAAGTACTTCTGAGAACTGCAGTGTCTGGCACCCAGGCCCTCAGTGCTGTCCTGCAAACACATGGGAGGACTTGGGCAGGCACCAACCATGCATTGAGGACTGTGCAAAAACACAGTGCTGTTACCGGGCTTGGGCTTGGTATGATTCTGGTTTTAATAAAAAAGGGCATCTGCTGGAGGGTTCGTGGGGTGTATGGAAGTCCTTTCTAAAATTCCCATGCTGATGTGTCATCCTGATGGTACAGAGCACACAACAACATAGCAGGAAAGGGGAATAGAGCACAGGGCAGAAAATGCAGGGACATCCCCTGAGGGCCTCACTCACTGAGAACACAGAGTTTAAGTCAGCCAGGGAGAACCAGGCTATCTAGCCATGAATCTAGCTACTTATCTTGATACTCTTATTAGCCCTACAGGTGAAAACTCCTGCCTGGAGCTTTCAGCAAATGAAAAATCCAACCCATCTATCTCCCAACCTTCAGGACAAAAACATTTCTATCCATTTTATCTTGAATATTAATCACATCTTGCCTAGAATTCCCTAAGTGACTGAACACGTGAAATGTGTGCACTTCTCACAAGTTCTCATTGCTGCTTTCAAAGGGGAAGCAACTGCATTAATATTGTGAGATTCTGACCTGAGCCTCAGCAGCTTTCCTGAGGGTTGCCAGCTTGGCCAGAGTGCACAAACATCCCTGAAACACACACAGTGTGAACAGCACACTCTTCATCCTGTCTACATTTAGTGGGACGCAACAAAAACTGGCAGCTGCTGACCATTGTCTGATGCTGATCTACTCAGCTCAAAACACAGTTTCTCTGTGAGGAAGCCTCTCACCAAAGGAAGGAGAAGGACAAACATTTTGGCCCAACATTTGATGCTTCCATGACTGTGGATTTAATTGGAAATGCCTGCTGTTCATAAAAACACTACATTTGCAGAGCCAGGACTTTAAGGTGGATAAGAAGGGGACTTCAAACTGAAAAGGGATTTTTGCACTAGATTATCAAACAAAACCAATCTATTGAATTCACAGAGGACAAAACTTTGCTAATGGGCAGAGGGAATCTGCACACCACATCTAGGCCAGCAAGTAAAACCACAGAGTATTCTTCAGCTCATAGAAGATTCTGTGCAGAGTTGCTGACACAAGATTAATAGTAATTTTATTCTTCTTTTAATCTGAAATTTGATTGTACTGGGATTTGCTGACTGGAATAACTCACTAGCATTTTTTCTCCATCCAAAAAAGGGAGGTACTGTTCTCTTGTCAGTTTCAATAAGACTGAATGCTCCTTCTCCTGATAAATTTGCTATGTATCCAAATATCCCTAAATCTAAGGAAAGCCAAAGGTTTGGTTTTTTTTTTCTTTTTTAAATTTGCAGCTGAAGAAACAAACATAACTAATGAGTCAATGTCATTACTGTAGTATTTCAGCACACACTTCCCTTTGCCTTCCAAGCAGTTTCTGCTATGAAACATAAAATCCTAAAATATATCAAATACACACCAAGATGACCTGCTAGCATTCTGTCTGGGTTATGAGCTGGTAACCAATTAGCCCATGCAAAGCTTGGCACTATTTGAGTTGATGAGTGAAAAAGATGGGCTGGAAGGAGGACAGAGAAAGACAGGAGATGGCCTCGAAGTAGTGGAAAAGGTTTTTGGACACTTTTAGCTAAAAAGCTCTGCTATTAACCTCACTTATTTGCAGACGGCATCTAAAAAGACAATTCAGATCCTCCAAAGAGCTCATAGAAAAAGAAAATTCAAGGATTTTTTTTTTTCTTTTTTGTTTGTTTTAATATAAGTATCCAGGTATGGAATGTGCTCTTAAGTCCACAATGGAAACTCCTGTAATTCTTCTATTTTAAAATAATTTTTTAAAATAAATCAAGCAAGCAAGGAATCAATGGTTGAGGTTTCCTCAGAGTGCCTGTCAGGGGCCAGTGTTCATTCCCCTTACCTGAGGGAAGCCCTCTGCTTCTTCTCAGAGCTTCTTGCTTCTTCATTAGCTTTGTTTTCAGCTCTGTGCCTGGCACTCTGCAAATCTGCCAGCAGAAAGTACATTATTGTCACACTGCTGTCCTTGCTGACCAGCACAACCAACATTCCACATTGCAAACACCTCTGTTTGTGTGAGTAGATCAGATGTGATGCATCATTTCCTGTCATCTTCCCAGGCCTGCTTTCACCCAAAGAACAGATTTTATTGAGAGGTGACCTGGACTGCAGGATCTCAGCCAGGGCTGGGTTTACTCTGCACTCCATGGGGCAGCCCAGGTGGAGCCACACTCACACTGAAGGCTCAGTGCTGTCCTAATGCACCACAGAGCTCCCCAGCAGTGAGAATTTGCCTGTGTCTGTTCTTGTGGGAGTGACTGTTTTATTAAAATTGAGGTGACCAGGCTCTCCTTTTAGATCTGATGCCTACATTTTCCATTGAAGTATTATTTTAAATACTTTTAAGTATTTCAATTTAGTACTACTCTACCTACTGAAGTAACTATGCTGATACAATTATTATTACAGGGAAGATAAGTTAGATGAGCCATCATGGTACAAACATTTTTACAATGGCAGACTATGCCAGCACAGAAAATGTACAATTTTTATGCACAGATTATTTAAGTTTACTTATGCTTAATTGTTTATTTTTACCCAGCAGCAGTGGTAGCTACGCACTGGGCAAGAAAGATTTTACACCCCTACACCTCCTCCCACACAAACCAAGTGCTGCAATATCAGCAGAGATAAAGTGGTGCAAGTCAAGAAGGCCTTAGATCTGCCTTGCAGTGCACAAAGACAATTACTACAGTTGGGTTACTGCTGCTTCCATCCATCAGAAGGGGGAACCCTCATTTGCTAATGAGACTCTGAAAGGAGGGCAGGTAATTTTACAGTCAAGATCATAAAGCAGGCTCATGGGGTTTAAAAGACCCACATAATTATTTGCCTTTAAGTATGTATGTATTTGTATTAACAAAATATAGAGATGGATTTTCAAGGGACTCTGGAAGCTTTTGTATTTTTCCAATGGGTGATTGCACATCCTTACCAGTATGATTCAACAAGATACTCTTTTTCTTCTGGCTGCTGTCTGGTGCCACAGTAAGTTTCACTCTCAGAGTTTTGCTGGAACTAGGAGAATGGTTTACTGATGCATCAACTACCTCATAGATGGTATGAAGCAAGCTGGTAATGTCCTGGAGAAGGATTGAAACACAGAAGAACAAAGCACTGTGAAAATGGCATGAAACCCACAGCTTCAATGCTTACAATTGTTTTGGATTTGGCACTATTAAATGTTGAGGTATCCTCAGAAATCACTGAATTTAGAAGACTTCAACTTGCACAGTTACAATCAGGAGTGTTACAATCTTCATCAAATGGGTTTATGAATTGGGGCTAAGAAGATCAAACCAATAACAACAGCACAAGATCTGCAGCTTTCCCAAGCTCTGAATCAGCAAAATGGTGTTCTGCCTTCTCTTTTCTTTGATTTACACAGAACCCAGGGATAATCATTCATACTCCACTAAAAATTGAGTTCACGTGGCCAATACATCAATTGAAGAAAATCTTGGGCATTACAGTCTTCTTATTTGTTTGGTTTTGATTTGGTGTTTGGTTTTTTTTTCCCTTGGCATAGTTAAATGGTTGATTATCTAGAGGAAAATCAGTAAGAAAAGTGGCAGAACTGTAAACCTCAGGTTTGGAAAGAAATTATGTCTGTCTGAATATCACCCTACCATCTGTGTTTTGGGGTTTAGCATATTTTGCAAAATTCAACCAGTTTTAAACACACATTTTGAACTGCAAATATTATCCAGTCAGGCCTATTACAGAACCTTCTTCACAGATCTCTTTGAAGGCAATGGGATGTGATCAGAGGCTTACATGTCTGGCTATATTGGAAAGAACACCAGCCAATTTTAACAAACCAATGGTTTCAAACAGGAGAAACACTGTTTAGTAGCTGGTGATGCTCAAAGGTCTCCCAGGCTGATTTAATTTAGCCAGGCTCAAACAGGGCACCACCTTAAATTGCCAGGATGAAAAAGGGATCTCTTTGCTCACTGCTTTTCCTCAAAGGGATTTTACCCAAACTGGTCTTGGGCACCAACCTAAGGCCAAAACATTCTGATAAAGCATTCTGATCATTGCAGGCTATAAAGAGCCCATTGAATGCATATCTGAGAACTTCCCCATGCTGGTCCTTCCTTTTCCTTGTTCTATCCTACTACCTAAGCTCTTCCCAGATGCCTGCAAGCACAAAGGAAATACCTAAATCATCTTTTGTTAGGTATAACTGGTTCTGAGGATTAAGAGTCAGGTCTATAAAAATACAAAACCTCTACAACTTCTCCTTTGCTCAGGAGTCACACTTGTAACATGGGCAGCTCAAAGTTTAGTATGCCCTAATGGAGCCCCCCACCACTTTAGAAGTCAATACACAGTCCTCATTTTGGAGCCAGTTTTAAAGATGACATAGAAATGCTAATTTCTACTCACACAGAATTTAGAGAAATATTGACCTTATGGCCAGGACCAATGATATTACAGTAGATGATTTTCCAGCTCAATAGGAAGAATGAATAACTAAATCCTAGAGGGTCCAGACTTTGTCTTAACATGCAACTTCTCTAACTTTTCTGCACTTAGGAGAAATTCTCCAGACCTGTAAATTCAAGACAGTATTCATAAAAAAGAGAGCAGAATATGTATTTTTTCTCTCATTGCTGCAAGAAGCTATATGGGCTGTTATCAGTAGCTGCTTTCCATGCTCTTGACAATCCCTGTCTAAAGCTTGAGTGTGGGACAGAGTGCTCTATGTCAATCTGGTGGACACCTCACAGCTCTTTAATACATCTCCATTCTCACGCTTTCACCCTAATTTGAAACCTAGCCAGATCTCTAGATCTGGCCAGAGTCACATCCAACAGCCAGCTTGAAGGCCTGAATTTTTATTTCATCTAAGAGGAAAAATCCAGGCTAGCACATAAACAGACAAACAAGCCATATCTGTTATTTTATACACCCTCCATAAGTCATGTTCAGGAGCATTGTGCTATAATCCCACCCTTTGATAAACCTTCTCCTTCAGCAAAACACTTAAGCACAGTATTTACTCTTTACTGGGCTCCATACACTCAGCACGTGGGTGAGTGGGGCTTTTCCCATACATTCCTGGACAAGTGTTGGTTAGCCAACATGTCATCTTTCCACACAAGGCTGCTATCAAGAGGTTATTATCAACTCTTTCACTCACAGTAATCTGCCCTTCTTCCTTTTTTCAGCTATGCCAGATATTTGTAAAGCCAGATGTTTGTACATCCAGTCTGTTTCAGCTTCAAAAACCAAAGACAGAAAATCCCCCACTGACCTTTTACATGTTTTTCTTCAGGGTTGAGGTCTAACTTGCTAACTGGCTGACAATCTGCTTTTTGTGTTCTGTGAGGGTCTTTCTCAACAAGCTGCTTGACTCAGCAGTTTAAAAACTACTCCCAAAGGCTGTCAGGGAAGGCAAAATGTGGCATTTGTGTGACACATACTTGGCAAATCACAACTATGTGCACATGCATATCACATCAGGACAAGTTGCACGTCTCAGCCAAACAGGCCCAAATTAACCCAAATTAATGTCCAGGCTGTGAAATGACTGCACAGAGGACTCAGCACCCTTGTGGACTGACACACTGCTGTCTCTGCATTTTGTTATGTGTTCAACATGCAGCCCTGAAGTTCCTGCATTCTGGCACTGCAGAACGTGGTGCCCACACTGGATGTGTCCCAAGATCGAGGTTAGGGACAGCCACGAGCAACCACTCAGTGCTTATGCTGATCTCCTAAATACTGACAACAACGTTTTCATTACAGGATTCATTTACTTGTGGTCCTAATTTGGGGTTGGGAATTTCAGCAAATTGACAGTTCTGATTTGGTCAAACAAGGCTGCTTGGGTTGTTCTGTCTCGTGTACCACGGACCTGGCTGAGCAGGTACCAGCCACAAGGCAGCTTAGCCTCCTGTTGCTTCACAATTGTTGTTTCACAATTATAACACTTGAATTTCTGAGGCACTGATCTACTGAGAATGGTCTTTGTCAATGAAATTTGAACTGCCACTAAAATTCCTTTCTCACAGCCCTGTCTTGGCAGCTAATATGGTAATGGTTTCTTGTCAAATTGGTAGCAATAGACCATTAAGATATATGTTACACACTCTGTATTTTATAGTTACATGTGTATTTACCCCAAAAGTATTTTCATCTCCCAGTAGCCTGCCAGCAGACTTCTTTCCCTTGAAAGCTGTCCCACTGAACATTATCTGTATTTAAATTCATTTAAAAACTGCCTAAATCCATTGAGACAGCTTTGCCTTCTACATCCCAGCCTGGGCATTTCACCATCCTCAAGAAATTTAGCCTCAAAGATCAAGAATAAAACCTAGTCAAATGTTCCTCTTGTCTGATACATAAACCAGCATACTCAGAGCCCACCTACCAAAGAATCAAACCTTTATGCACAATGAATGATGAGTTTTGCAAATCATGGTATTTTGCAACTGTTTTGCTTTAGACTGCTTGGCCCTTCCCCCACAAAAAGTGTATTTTTAGACTACTATATTAAATGGGTAAGGAGAAACAAGAATGAACAAAAATATTTCTCTCCTTCATGGTAAATGGAATATATTTAGAGGGAAGTATTCTGCATGACTCTAACTTCTGAGGGGCTTCTGGTATGAAGAATTTCTGCAGGGATCTCTAGGTTAATCAAGTACTAAAACTGAAACTATGATATTTTTCCACAGAGAGGAAAACAAATGCTCACTGAGTAGTACCCAAACAGCCAGCACGTGCCATACCCAGATTTATTTGTCTTTTGCTTATTGAACACCATGGTTGGCTTTTCCAGGGTGAAAATCTCATCCTTTTTTATCAAGCAGCCAATGCAACAAAAGTATATTAAGAAGAGAAAATTTCCTGAAATATTTCCATTTGTTAAGTCCACACATGTATGCTGCTCTCACACATCTATCTGCAGAATACTTTATGGATCTCCAGTAGGAGAGTAACAGTCATTTATAACATTCAGAGAAATTTGTAACATTTAGAGGAACCAATAGGTCTGAAAAAAGAATGAGAGCACTGAAGTATTCCTCATTCCATACAGAATATGTGTGAGACTGAGAAAGTCCCTATTCCAAGTATTATTTTTAAGGAATAGTAGTAGTAAAGGGATGGCCTTATTTTTCCCATATTAGCATAGATTATCATCACAAGACTAGTTAGCAAATTAGAGATCTTTGTAGAAGACACTAATAGATTTTTTCCATTAGAATTAATTTAACAGAATGAGATATTTGTACCCAAAAAAACCCCAACCAACCAACAAACAACACCCAAAAAACCCTGAACTACCAGCCTCCCCTTAGAAAAAAAAAAACAAAAACAAACAAAAAACCAAACCAACAAACAAAACAAACAAACCCCCAGAGAACACCCCCAAAACCAAAGAGTTCAATAAAACTGAAAGATTCAGTTTGATTCTTTGTAGCTTGCCTGAGAGAGAATTCTTTGACTCTCCTTAAAACCAAGAGAGAAAGTTATATTTTTTCTTAATATTTCTATCTGACATGAAACCATCATTTTTAATGACTGAAGTGATGGCCACAGATACAATAGGCACTGCTGCTCTATCCATTGGTTTCATTGTTCTTTCTATATCCTGAGTTAGCACAAACACAGTGAAAACCAACAGATTTCAAGATAAGGGTCAGGCTGATAAATGGGTGACCCAAAAAAGCCAATATCCTTCCCCAAGTCAATGACTTGGTGCTGAGCTCTGAATGCAGATATAACCTCAAACCTTTTTATTCATCAGAGTATAGGAGTAAAAGAATCTAAAAAGGGAAAGAACAAGTCACAAAGGAAACATAAGAGGAAAAATTTGGTATTTAATGTAAGATACAAAGAACAATTTTAGCATTAAAAATGCATGAAGAGAAACATCAATATCAGTTCATTACTTTTCCCTTGGAAAAACATAAATACAAATGTCTCATTTGTACTTTGTTTGTAGTCTGATTTCTACATACAGCAGGATGTTTTTATTGCAACATCAGCTCTGTTTGATCACATACTATTTTGAATCATTCTTATTTGGAATGCAAAAGGAACTTCACTTGCTATCTGCTCAAAAGCTGCTCTAGAAGAAATTTCTCTTTCTTTTTTTTGTCCTGACAAGTAACTTTCTTTTGTGCTTATTCCTGTGCAGTTGCTCACCAAAGAAACTCAGTATTACATGGAAGAACTGGTTACAAAAAAAAAAACCAAAAAAAAAACCCTAGTGTTTATGAAGCATAATTACATTCAGAGAGCTCAATACAAAACCTCACGGATCAAAACACATTAGTTCAATTATCCAAGTTTCAAGTCCGATTACAAATATTCATGTGAAGATAATTACAGTGCAGCTGTCAGTTCTAAAAAGGCCTGCTGTACATAATGAATTGTCCTCTTATGGCTTATGGAATGAAGGGAAGTGTTATTAGCCAAGTTTTGTAATATACATATTACAGCAGGAAAAGTTATCTCTCACTAAACCAAAAAGGACTGAGAACTGGTCATCTTTATGGCAGAAAAAGCAGAAGTTTAATAACATACAGTAATGTTAATTTACAACTTGCCATCCCAATAATTATGCTTTCATAACGGGTCTATCTCTTCAAGAAGCATGACTAGATGTGAATTTCTAATTATAAGGACTATAGAATAAGTCATACAGACTCTAGGAGGAAATCAAAGCAGCATTAAGTTCTGAAGATGTTGTTAGATCCAGGAGAAGTTTCACTAAAATGGAATTTGAATGCTCTAGCAGTGATCTGTCATTCTGTAGAACCCAAGGGAAGTTGTAGCAACGAAATACACACCTTATTTACAATTTTTATACATTTGAATGAAAAAGCCAATTCAATTCATCAGTAAAATTGCTCCCCAGCTATGTGTGTCTTACAAATTTAATTTAACACTGGATTCCTTTGGAAATTCTCTGGACATGAGGTACAATGTTTTAAACACAATGATTTGGAATCAAATGAAATAGATGTGGGTGGGCAAGCTACTTCTTTTCCACTGTCTCACTTTTACAACGTGGTGAAAAGCAAGAATAATGCTACTGACTTCTTTTTGCAAAGCACCTCCAGGTCTGCAGGTAAAAAACTAACTGAAAAAATGTCTCTGTTAAATCCATATATAAATCCAGGAGACATTAAAGGGAAATTCTCCAAGAAGGAGAAAAGGTCCATATTAAGCTTTTCTCACCAGAACACTGGACCTTTGTTAAGAAAAGCTGACTGGTTCTGAATGCATTTTCATCAGCTCACTAAAGGGCACTGGTATAGATCTGCCTCTTCCTCAGACTGCCCATTTTGTCCCTGCTCCAGCAATGTACTTCACATACTTTTGACTGAAAACATGTCTCTTATTAATTTTAATTGAAACTATTCAAATGTTTAATGTTCCCCCTGGTTAAGTCATTTGCAGGAACAGGAGCAGAGTTGCTAAGCAAAGGACAGTATCAGGCACACTATGTCTGCCCATCTCCCAGGGGCCAAGAGAACAAGAAATTCTATGTCATATTAAGAGACTAAAATTCCTCTTTTGTGGCCAGGATTATCTATGAGCTGCTATTGTTGGTCATTCTTGCTCAAAAAAACCCCTCATAAATTGCACCTGGATTCAACAGAAGATAACCAAGAAGATGGCTTATACAAATGGCCCTGGAACAGTTTGCAAAAGAAGTGTATGACATAAAGGGGAAGATTTGGAATGGTGCATACTTCTTGTTTCTATCTTTGGTCACATGTAAAGAGCTGAAAATTATCAACCTATTTGGTCCCTTGGTTGAAAGAATTTTTTTTGGCACAGGTTCAAGCCTGAATGTAGCAATCTCCAGACCTCAGAGCAGTATAATATTCAATCCCTGCACAGATTTGGTTTCAGTTAAGCTGTAGTCTGCTCTTGTAACAGGGAGAGGTAGAATTTGGCTGTAACATATTCTCAAAGTACAGTCAAATTAAGCTCTTTGGTGTACCACATAATCACAAGTAATTATTGTATACATACTTGAAAGCATATTCTCGTTATGTTCAGCACATGGAACCCCCACTGACATTAATGGGAATTCCATGCCTGAATGTAAAAGACACCCAATGTGTGTGGGTTTGGGTTTTGTGTATTTTTCCCCTATTTTTGAGAGTCACAATAATCTTGTAATGAAGACTTAGCCTTGGGTCCTGAAAGACCTGGGTTCAATCTGCCACTAGGTTCTTGTGAGACTTCAAGCAAGTTATTTAATTTTTCCAGTCTCTGTTCCACAAACATTAACAAATACAATACTACTTTCTCACCTCACCTGTCCTTCTTGCCCTCTCTATCTCATCTTCCTATTTGAAACTCTGGACTTAGCCTGCAACTTTTCATCTGCCTGGTCTTGTGCATGAGGGCACAGATTTCACTTGACTATTCAAAGCACTATAGAGTAGAGACAATAAAAATAGCCTTGTAATGATGTTCAAATACATGTTAAAAACCCTGAACAACCATCACCTTTGGCAATGTCAAAACAAATTTGCTTCAGACTTTTTGGCGTCTAAGGCCACTACACTTTCAGTATTTGCCCTATTGCTTTCAAACAGTTTTTAGTAATTGTCACAGGCACCAGCATCAGATCTAAGAGAGAAAAAAGCCTTTGATTTTCAGCTGATTATCTAAAGGCATGGGAGCCAGTAAACACACATCACAAAAATCAATGACAGCAGACAGCATAAATCCCAAGTAAAAGACATTCTTCTAGAAGAAATATTATTCAATTTGGGCAGAAATAGTTCTCAGAAAGAACTATATCCTAATCTATACATCCTCTAATTTGGCTTGAAGACATCCTGATAATAAAAAATACACACACAGGTATGCTTTGACAGCCATTCTTTATGGTCCTCCAGAGAACATCATCAGTGTTATTTATACTTGGAGGGAAAAGGCAGAGATCAGCCCAATATTCATAAAAACAATAGAAGAGTATAGTTAGTACTGTTGGAAAGAATGTCAGTAAGCAACCTTGCTATTTGGTTAGCTTAACTCTGAAAAGCAGGAGAGAAGCCAGAACAATATACATTTGCAGGGGTTTATTTTGACAATGTGTTTAGCTGTTCAGTTGTTTCAGATATTTTTCCTCCTCAAATGCCAGTACTACTTTTTAAAGGCTATCTCAGGTATTAAACAACAACCAGCTTAAAGAACGGCACAGTAGATCTGAAAACAGCAAACTACTGGTGGGATTGTTTCTAGGAGGGAAGGGTCCGTGGAAACTGCTGTTTAAGTTGGCAGGACACCTCCACTTCATAGTAGAAAAAAATGTTCCTGTTGTAAAATACTTCTCTCGTTAGCAAGTGCTGCACATAAAGGGGCAGCTGTACTTTGCTTACCTCACGTGTGACTCTTCCGTTGTTATCAAAGTCATACAGAGTGAAGGTCCATTCTTGCCTGTTATCTTCCTCTACAGACACATCACATTGCAATTCCTAAGAAACATGCAAAGAGCAGCTGATTACCTACAGCAAAAGGCCTGTTTGCAGAGGAGGCTCTGTGAGATGCTGCTTTCTTACTTCTTCCCTCCCTCGTGGGAAGAAGGGAGGGAGGAAGGAAGACAGGACATCAGGGTATGTCCTGGAGAGGTCTCTGTCCACCACAACAAATAGGTCCCATCATAATCACACAACTCTCCCAACTCTCTGGGTTACACCTCAGGGAATTCACAACTTGCTTTCTACTACATTGTAGAAAACAGGAAAAGGTACAAGAAGACTATTCCCTGAAGCTCTCGAAACATGGTAAGATTCCCCACTAAAATGTGAGAAGGAAAACTACACTTTACTCAGGAAGAAGAAGACAACAGAAGCAGAGGTAGCAAACCACAGGGCCAGGAGTAAGGATTAATGCAGTGTGGAACAGATCCCCACCAGAGAGACCTGTCCTCAACACAGATATTTGACAGGCAAAGGTTGTCAGAGTTAGTGCAGTACAACATCACTGAAGCTCCTGAAACAGAGCCTGCCTTGAAACTGGCAAGAACAACCTGGGAGTAGAGCCTGCTCCTGGTTTTAACTATGCTTCTGTTAGTGAGAGTGTGATCTGTGGAAACCTGAAAGAATCAATTTGTTAGAGGGGAAAAAAATCCCCAAACCGAAACCAAGAACAAAGGATGCACTTTGACTGACTCCAGTCACCTGGGTGCAAATCGTTCGCTGCCTCTCAAGGCCTGTGCAATCAGAATTATCCAGAGCCACAAAAAGGCAAAACAGAGAAGTTACAGTGCAATTAAAATGAAAGTCACTGTATGCAAGTAAAATAAACAGGCCCAAATAGCTTCAGCATGATAGACCTCAAAACACCTGGTTATCTTCCGACTTGAAACCAATTCCCTTCAGCAGTTATGGGCAGCGGTCCCCTGCCGAGTTCAAAGGCAGCTCCTCTCAGTTGTAACAAGCCCGGCTGAGAGCTGCCAAGTGCCCCACACTCCGCTGTGGAAACACAGTTTCGTGTTACATAAACATTCCTGGCACCTTTAAAAGCCAAATCACTTTCACCTCAGGTTTAGACCCCTTGTCGCAACACTGGGTTTTCTGATTCTTTTATACCTTTGAAGCATTTACCAGTCTCTTAGCTCCCAGCTTACATTGCTGGAAAACTTTCATTTGTAGAACAAGGGAAAAAAATATCAATACTTGGTTTCTTGCCACATATTAGTACTTCCCTGTCCCACACTGCCTAACATAACATCTTTATGTGAGGATGTGCTCTGCTTAGCTAAGAGCCATGGAAACCTTCCGTGCATTAGTCACGGTGCCTAGAACCAAGTGCTAACCTTTATGGCATGCCAAGAACTACTTGGGAACAAGCACAGACGTTGCTGGTACAGTGGAGCTCCAGCTACTCTGGCACCAACCATGTTGACAGGTGTCCTCCAACGTTCAAATGTCAAGGCACTGTTAATTGCAATTTATCATGCCTTTCCTGTCTGCAAATGTCTGCTACTTCAGGTAGAATATAAAATAGGCCTAGAAAAAGAGTTATAGCAGCGCGGGAAAAAAAAAACAACCTAGGAAAAAAGAAAAGTAACTTCCCCAGAAGGCACAAAAGCAACACCTGAACTACCCATGGGAAACCTACCTCCCCCTAATCTGCTTTAAAACAATAAAATATAAAATTGTACCAGAGCGAGATGGAAAAGAACACTCCAGCCATGCTGCAAGGTGCCTGCATGGTCTTTGAAACATCAACTGAGGAAACACAAAGCTCATTACTTAGAGAGGCTGACAGCACCAAAAGGCTGGAGTGCAGAGATGAATATTTGTGCTATTTTTTGCTGGTGCCAGAATATCTTCCTCCTCACCAAGACGGACAACCCACTAGCTGGGTGACTGCATATTTCCATACTCATATTAATGAAAACACTCCCTACAGAAACAAAATCTGCCAACTGCACACAATGTCTGACAGTTATATGATGTTCCACAGATGCAAGCCTACAAGGAAATAGCCCATAGGACTCATCACCCTCCTCCTCCTGCCATGTGACCAGACAGATTTCACATGTAGCAGGTCAGGGTTATTCCACTTTGGAGACCTGGGCACTGAAGATCAATCATTGCAGAAGGTTTCACAGGCATCTTTTACACTAGGCAGATTTAACCAAGTGCAATAGTCCATGAAAGCCAATCTAAAGATTTGATAATATGGTAGCTGGCCTAATAAATAAAGGGTTAAACTGAAAGCTTCCTCTTACTATGCATTTCAGATCCTGCAGAGAAATAACCATCATTTGATTCTCTCCAAACCTGGAAATAAGTGCCACTAATCACCTCATATGGAGCACTGACAGCAAGGCACTGATTTGTGCCAGTTCTGCTGCCTCCTGTACCCACTACAAACACTGGGAGCAATAAACATGCATCAGATGACACTATTTGGTCCACAGGTTATTTTTCTACCATAATTATGTCAGTACAGTGAAACTTTAAAATACAAAGGACTTACTTCAAATTTCAGTTGCTTCTTGGAACTTGTGCGTGTGTCACTTTCTTTTTCTGCTTTCTTTTCATCTCCACTGCAAACTCCATCTGTCTTCTCTGGAGGCAAAGCCACTGCGAAAAGCATATTTAAGAAAAAATGCTTATAAGGAAATGTCAAAGCAGTCTCATATTTGCAAATCTGTCTTTATATTTAGGGTGAAATTGATATCAGCACACTTGTATAAGAGGATCATTATACTTGATTTGCTTTTGTGTTCACTACACATCTGGGATAATTTCAGCAGACAATCTACCAACAGCTTTTGGTACACAGCCTCCCCTACAAACATCACTAGAGTCACAGGAAGTTCAAACACAGTATTATGAGAATATAAAATAGCAGAACTGTTACTGCAAATAAGTTGAATAATTTGCAAAATATTGAAAGTTTCTGACATATTGCAAAAACCCATCACATTCACCAGCAGTGAGTGAGTAATGAAGCTGAAATAAAGCCCTCATTTCTGTTCCAGTTTCACTCTTCAAACACACACAAAGCTTAGTACCTTCCAAGAAGGCAACACTACCTGCCAAAAAGGTTAAGCTGCATTTTTTCAATGCATGAAATAGCGTATTTCACTCAAGTTTCAAGTTAAAACATCAGGCACTTGCATAAATCAACAGCACTCATAAAGAGCATCAATATTAATATCTATCACAACATATATCAGATATACAACAGAAAGATATATGCTTCCCATGTGGATTAAAAGACAAAGGTCTAGAACTTAATAGCTGTTCATTTGGCTTCTGCAGGGGCATTCAGCCTTGCACATGATGAAACCCTATATCTGAAGAAAACTAATTCTATCTTCATTAGCATTATGAAAATATACACAAACTTTTTAACCCTACCCTCAGACTTTTAGACATGATTTTTTACACATCCACACACCTCTGCCAACGTTATGCCCACACTCCATTACATATAGCAACAATCCTTCCAACTCCCCAAAACCCAGCACTGTTGCAAAAGCATGAGTCTTAAAGTCACCATTTTCTTCTCTTGCACTGCAGCATTTGCATCTACCCAAAGCCTTTATCCTAATGCCATGTTAGGAACTGTTTCTTGGGGATGCCTTTGGCAGTAGCATCTCATTCAGTGCCACTTCAATCAAGTCAGATTCCTTACAAAAAAGGTGACATGATGATCCCCTCCACTTCAGGGGGACTCATTTCAGACTGGGTTTACTGGCTCTCCAGGTGTCCCACACTGCTGAGCTGCCTCCCAACCATTCTCCCAGGAAGCAAGTCACTAACATGCTAGAAGTTAAGATACTTCATGAGCCATTTTCCTGGACTTTCTTTCATGTTTAAAATAGAAAAATTAGCTTCAAGAAACCAACCAACCAACAACACCAATAAAAAACCAAAAGCAAACCACCAAAACACAAACCAAAATAAAACTCTTACAACTCCTATTACCATAGCTTCATACTCTCAGAAATTCCAGATTTCTGCCCCAACATTCACATTGTCACACTGCACTGCATTTGTTTGCTTAAATTTAACATTATTGTATTACTTTTGTTTGTTTGTTTTCAAAACTGTGGTATGCTATGTAAGATGGATGTATAGTAAAGAAAAGGGAATAAATTTGAAATGCTGACCTTGGGAATTTCCTGTCTTGTGATACTAAGTGGTGGTTTTGAGGTTATACTAACACCAGCTTCCCAATGCACACATGTAATTTGCATTATACCAATTTGATGGTGTTTATTGTACACATAATGACATGTTGATATGCTTTGATTTCTACACCAAGTCATGTTAGGATTCCTTCCACCAAACATAAGCTGAGTAGGAAGGTCAGACAAAGGAAGACAAAGCTGCTTCAGAGCAGTTTCTTCCCTGATTCTTTTAAGCTGGTGTTATTGGATGAACAGGGACTGCTTCTTAGGAGACTTTTGTATAGTGTTTATCACAGGTAAGACAGGTATTAAAATAAATATTATTTCCAATACATAACTTTGAAGTATATCTGATAAAGTGCTGTTTGCTTTATACTCACTTTGCCTTTTGAATGCAACTCTACATTCCTAGAAGTTCAAAACTAAGGTGACAGAAAGACCCCCATACAACAAAAGACAACATTTTTTTCTCTACTTCAGTCCAGCTTTGTTGCAACATTCTAAAATCAACAAGAAATGAAAAAGTAGCCTGGGCTTTCACAACAAGGGCAGTTACACTGACAGTAGTTCTTCAGAGCTATTAGATACACCCCCAGATTTTCAGTGTCTCATCTGCACCAGTGACTGGTTTTTCACAAGCACAGTTATAACCTGATTAAAACTTCTGTAAAAGAGGCTTTTGCAATCCCACCCAGCCTTCCTCTAAGGAATATGAAATAAATGAAAGCTGGGCTGGTATGACCCCTAGCTTCTTTGGGACAGTGAACAGCCATTTGGAAAAAAAAAAAAAAAACAAACATCCACTTCTGTTATCACATATTTTTTAAATGGTTAAAAGTACATGATGGCCAAAAGACTTCTACAGTTGATTTTATCTGTTGAGGGTCAGCATCCCAAATGACAATGGCATGGCAGACTGCATTGGGCACAGCACTGCGAGGCAGATCCTGCAGGAGGTGGCTGTTCCCTGCCACAGCGCCCTTTGTTGGGTTTTCTGTCAGAACAAAGTGTCTAACAGAGCATTCCCTCCTTCCCAGCACCCTGCTCCTGCACTGAGCTGAACGCCACTGGCATTAGCAGAGAGCACCAGGGCCCAGCAGGTGCTTCAGAGAGGAACAGCACAGAGTCACCTTCTGCTGAAGGAGCAGCCCTTCCTTCCCCTGGTATGGTTAACAGCCTTTCTGGATGTACAGTTTGTGTGTTCAGATAGGAAGCTTTCACTTTAATGTATAATTTATGTAACAGAGGAAAAAATGTGCACTGACAAATTAGTCTTCTCAAAAAACAAGGGTTCTATTGGAGAAGGAGGGGATACATCTTGCAGTACACTCCTTGGGAGAGTTTAAATACTGTATGCCAGAAATTATCCTCTTTGAGCTTTGCTGACCTTTGATCTGAAGAACTTATTGGCCTTGCTGCTCCAGGGAATTATCCTTTGAAATCAGTTACTCATTTTGGAGCTCAAATGAAATGGAGAAATCTGGTGATCTCATCCTGATGTCAAGTTTCATTCAGCAAAGAAAAATGAAATCTAACTGAAGAAACTTTAAAGGGCAATATAGAGATACTAAAATAATATTAACAAGTGATCAAATAATGTGTCTGTGCATATATCCCCATATGCCTCATCCAAACCCAATGAACATTTAAAAATATATACTGTTTTGTCTGAGAAGAGAAGAAGTGTTTGGTATCTTGCTGCTATACTTAGTTTTGACTATTGACATGTGCTCAATTTCGTGAGGGATACAAACACATGCAGAGCCTACTTATAAATAAAATGAGAATGTCTGCTTGGGACAGTTAAAACTGGCAGCCTGTAAACAGAGATCCACCAGTGAGCCGCATGCCAAGGTTTCAGATATATGCACAATGTGAACTTCCTTTCAGCTCTGCCAATGATATTAAAGCAGACCAGACAAGATAGCTATCTCAAAGGACTGTGGAGAATTAATAGACTTGTGTTTCCAAAGTCTAGGCCATCAGAAATAGGTCTGCATACAATACATCATCTGTGCAAAAATACTTACTTACCTCCCTGCTCAGATAACAAGTCCTGACAAAAAGAACGTGCTATATAGACAAATACACAGAGAAACATACCCTTGTTGTGGGAATCCACAACTGGAGGGGGAAAAAAGAATATGTATTGCTTCTCATGGGAATAACCATATGCTCTCAAAAACAATGTTCCCTTACAGAATGTTTCATGAATTGAAATATTGCATATGTTTTCTTTATTATGTTCTTTTCTTGTTCATTATTAATGGTCTTGTATTCACTTCTATAACCTTAAGACACTATAAAAATGGGTCTGGACAATATTTGAAATTGGAAAGACAATAAAGGAAAAATATTAACTTGGAAAAATTGTGAAATACCATTCTTTCACGAAAAACAAACTGACTGGCTTAAGTGTATTAGCAGATGTTTCTCTCTACAATTGTTAATTACTACCACCCAATTGCTCATAATTGAAGTGGGGGAGGAAAAGAGTAAGAGAATGAGCACCAGTTTAAAGATATTAAGACTCATCCCAGAAGAATTAAGCCTTTTTTTCAGGGTTTGTTTTTTTGGATTTTTTTTTTCATTCCTAAGGAAAGGAGGTAATAATTCAAAATGCTGCTTAGGAATCACTAAAATATCCTAGAAATGAGGTAAACTGATTGCTGTGCTCTGTGTATTGAATGAAGTTAGAATAGTAAGCTTCAGGCATAAAAAATATCTTTCTCTTGCCTTCATCCTGCATCTGACAAGAAGGGAGAAAAAACAAAACACCAAAATAGAGCTGCACTCAGGTGGAAAAATGAGTGTTTAAACTTTCACCCTCACTCAGGAGGCATGTCATTCCATGTTTCTCAAAGGCCCATTCCAGCCAAGGACCATGTGCTTTGTCAAATGATCTGCCTTCTCAAATAAGGACAGCTTCACTCTAGTTTTCAGCCATACTTTGCATTTTAGTCAGATGGATTAAGAGGATCTTGAGGCCAGAACCAAAGGGTGCAACTCACGATCAATGTCCAGGCTACCAACTCCAAATTTTGCAGAGCAGTTAGGAGAACTCAGGCTAAACAGACAAACAACTTCTGAACCTCCTTGGAAGGACAGCCTTTCCAAAAGGTATGTGATTGTTGCATCACCTTAGCAGGTGCATCAAAAAGCAGAACTATGGGAGAAGCTGTGCAATTCCACAGTGGTGAATTATGACTGGACATTACCAGTGATGTTTCAACGCTATCTTAATGTCAGGGTCATTACTGAGAGAAACCAGAGTAAAGGTAAAATTGGAGAATTGACAAAAATGCCACCTATGAAAGTCAGCACCCGCCACACATGAAACCAAACCTTTGCAGTGTAATATTATTAGCCTTCCTCTCATTTTGGATAGAGTGGATTCCACAGCAATTCCTTAAAACAACTACCAGAAGAAAAGGGACAGAA